ATATGCAACAAAAACATATAAAAACTCGTGACAAAGCACGGGCTCAATTACCAGTTAAACTAAAAACCACTTTAGTTTCATCGGTATTGAAAAAAGGCAATATACATAATACCATGAGCATACTTTCAAAATTTTACAGATTTCACATGCACTTAATAAAGTACATAGCCGTTTTCGGCAAATTCATGGCTAAAAATTAAAAACGTAAAATTTTAAAAGAGATTGTCAACATTAATCAAAATACTGAAGAAGCTTTCCGTCCTTAGAAAATGGTTTGCCCGCATTATACAAATCTATAAAAAGACCAGGAAACCCGATTTTAAAATATTCATAGAAACCATTGGGGACCACCCACAACAGTTGTTGCAAATCTTCTGACTTCTCTTCATAGTGAGCATATAAGTTCCTTATCATTCGTAACAAACTATGTCCCAACTTTTGTATTTTTGGAGATTTCCAATCGAATTTCGTAGTTTGGAACGACAGGTTTCTGAAATTGCACGGTCTTGTGCATCTTTGAGAAAGGAGAGACATTTGTTGGGGTCCCAGAATTGAGGGTGTATCTTTACTTGTTTGGCTGTTGGTCTTGATAAGAAAAATATGTTTATCAACTCCAAGTTATTTTCATATTTGAATAGTAAACCAAAAAAATAGCTACTTTCACCATATTTTTATCATGTTGGAAATAATTTTACTTTCACCATACATTACACGGATCATACCTGAGGTTTGGATCATATTTGCAGAAGAGAATGGATAAGATCAAGAGCTTCCTGAATATGAACCACAATAGAATCTATAATTTTGTCGTCTTCAAAGATATTTTTGTCACGCGTATGTATATTCTCACCAAAAGGGTGTTTACCATCGGTACATCCGATGCTCGCCACCCTGAACTCCATGTACCTAAACCCGCGAATATCATAAAGATTAAAAACAGTTATTTAAGACATACAAGATATAGCAAACTAGTTCCTATTTTTTTCTTATTAAAACATTGTAATTTTTTATTTCCTTATTATAGCATGCCACCTTGGACCTACACATGTATAATATATTGGTGACGTGTCAAAAAGTTTAAAGTTCTTTTAAACTTTCCATATAAGATGAGATTTAGATCATCATTGATGAAATGGACATATCAAATGAAAGTAATAATTATTTTTATAAAAAACTGCCATTGCTCTCATCTTGGGTAAAAGTTTTTTTAAAACAGCTAATATGGACAGTTGTCATGCCATCATAATTCCAATCTCATTGCTAACATGGGTAAATTTTCTAGAGTTCAATGCTCAAATAAGGAATAATTTTGAAACTAAATAATAAAGAGTAATTGGAAACTATATTAACTTTTCTTGCATTTCCCCCTTCAAATATTAGTAAAGTAATCTCTCATAACGAAAAATATAAAAGGGCTTGCCTGTCGTGGTTTTGGTTAAAAACGTTTTATCAGCAGGTTGGTGTTCGCTGATATATCTGAGATTTTTGCCCTAATAGAATAAGCATCTTTTTATATGAAGACATTTCGAGGTTTTAGATCACGTTGAATGATTTTATGATCATGTAAATGTGCGATTCTTTGACTACATCCCTACATTTTATATCACCAAAAACATTGGTTAAAGTTAAGCGGGGTAAGCTATATATGAGTGTTTCTATTTTACTTAATGCAGAAAGAACGACTTAATAGAGAAAGTCAAGGAAATGAGGCCTTCCCCATTAAGTCCTAACTTTCTTAAAAAAAAAAATCTCTTGTTTGTTTTTTGGGGTAAATGCAAGAAAAAACAATGCACTTTAAGTTATTTGCTTTTTATTTCTTGCTATTATAGCATTGTACATTAAAAAATATACCAAATTATAACAATGGCAAATACAAAACTGCTATAATTGAGTTAAATTTTCAAAATACAATGTCCAAATAAGAAGAAAAAAAATTGTAAGTACATTGTTATAATTGGGTAATTACTTTAAAAGAAGAGTGTATTATTATGGAAAAAATGAAAGTATGATATAATAAAAGCAATGAAAAGGATGCTATAATACACAAATAAATGAAAATACATTGTCTTTTTTTTCCCATATTTGCCATGAATTTCAAAATGTCTTTTAAGCATCACTATCCGGTACAATTTAATGAAAGGAAAAAAAATATGGACCAACCTTATTAGTCTCAAAATGAATAACTGATGTCATTTGAACTCCCATTAGTCTCTATTCTCAATTTCCGCTAAACCTCTGAATTATTAATCAAATCACGGAGGCTACATTCACATATCTTTAAAGTGATATAGATGAAATGTTGATCATATTCAACTCTATAACAAATAACAACATTAGAATGTTGACCATCTACATTAAGATTTTGAAGCTTTTTCTTTGCAATATCAAGATACATGTTCACAACCTTTTTACTGTCACAGCTCTATGATGATACACCCCATGGAATACAATAGTCCCGTTATTATCCGCCCAAAGTTTTGTTTTAAAAAGTAATAAATTCCTAATAGAGCTTACATTACCATCATCTGCATGATCATCAATATGATTTGGAAAACTTTCGTGCAGCACGTATGGTACTCTATCTAACAGTATCTGCTAGTGTGTAACCTTTATTTGTCATTCATCCTTCAACTTTCTTACGACTGCAAGAGTTGATTCGACTTTAGTATCGACTTTTGTCTCTTACTGTCACTCTAGTATCAACTTTTGTCACTCCAATATCGACTTCTGGTGCGGTTAGAAAACATGTTGTCTTTCATTTACCAAAAGTGAGGAAATGTCAATTTCCTATCTGAATATTTGACCCCGTCCATATTGGAAATCTACTTCGATTTGAGGAATAAGGTATTGAATAGTATCATTACCATCCAATGGTGAAAGTAAACGAAGGATAATTCTACCACAATAACATAAAACCACATATGATCGGTTAGTTCATAGAACATAAAACACAGTAAATATATGTAAGAACAAAGAGTTTACCTGTCAGATGCAGAATTAGCTAGGGCTGACAAAATTGTATCATGGAAAACCAACCAACATGTTACCAACCGAACCAATAAACTTGGTAGCCAATATATTTGGTAGCCAACATGTTTGGTTGGTAGTACCGTACCAATTGATCAATGTTGGTACGGTAATGGTACAAAAATTTGAATACCATGGTAATACCGTACCAACCAATTCATTTATTATATATATATATATATATATATATATATATATATATATATATCAATGAAATCGTATATTTCAACTATTAATTGTGTTTAGTGTTTACAGTTTTAATAACATTATATTAGTCATTTGATTGTATTAGTCGATAGTTATTATCACGTTAAAGCACAAAATTAAAACGTTACTTTAGCGTTACTTTAGTATAATTCTTTTGTAAAAAAAAGAACTACGTAACTAATTTCTATACTAAACATTAAAATCCCGATGTCTTTATTTTTAGTAGAATTCTTTTGTAAACAAAAAGAACTACGTAACTAATTTCTATACTAAACATCAAAATCCCGGTGTCTTTGTTTATTTTTAAATGTTACAATAGAAAATTAAAAGAAGTTGGTATATACCATTACCAATTTGTACCAACCAAGCATGTTGGTAGCCAAATAAATTGGTACCAAGTATACATGGTACGGTACCGGTAGAAATTTTTTTATATCAATTATAGTTGGTACGGTACACGGTTTAGAGAAAAATGAATTGGTACCGTACCAATTCCACCCCTAGAATTAGCATCAAAAGTGAACTCAATAATGTGTTTATCTGAGTCTTCTTTAGTGTGTTTGATCTTCAATGTTTCTCTATTAATAGAGTTCACAAAGAAAGGTTGAAGATTAAGCACACAAAAGAAGACTCGGATAAACATATTATTGGATAAACATATTATTGAGTTCACTTTTGATGTCAATGTTAATGTTGCATCTGCAGGTAAACTCTTTGTTCTTAAATATATTTACTGTGTTTTATGAACTGACCGATCATATGTGGTTTTATGTTTTAGTGGCAGAATTATTGTTTAATTTCACCATTGGATGGTAATGATACTATTTAGTTCCTTATTCCTCAAATCGAAGTAGATTGCTAACATGGAGGGGTCAAATATTCAGATATGAAATGGACAGTTCCTCATTTTTGGTAAATGAAAGACAAATATGTTTGTTAGAAATTGAAGCAACAGGTTTTCTGACCACACCAGAAGTCGATATTGGAGTGACAAAAGTCGATACTAGAGTGACAAAAGTCGATATCGGAGTGGAATCAACACTTGCAGTGGTAAGAAAGTTGAAGGATGAATGACTTGTTACACACGAGCAGATACTGTTAGATAGAGTACGATATGTGTTACACGAAAGTTTTCCAAATCATATTGAGGACCATGCAGATGATGGTAATGTAACATAACTAAGAATTTGTTACTTTGTAAACCAAAACTTAGGGAGGGTAGTAATGGAACTATCGTATTCCATGGGGTGTATCATCATAGAGTTGTGGCAGTAAAAATGGTTGTGTACAGGTATCTTGATATTGCAAAGAAAGAGCTTCAAAATCTTAATGTAGGTGGTTAACATTCTAATGTTGTTACTTGTTATAGAGTTGAATATGATCAACATTTTGTCTGTATCGCTTTGTAGATATGTGAATGCGGCCTCCACAATTTGATTAAGAATTTAGCGGTTCATCGGAAACTATGAATAAAGACTAATAGGAGTTCAAATGACATCAGCTATTCAATCATGCCAGTGTTATCGATAGCGATATCAAGGTAATAGCGACAACCTACCTATATGCTACGTAGCGATAGCGATGGAATAGCGACAGCTATTTCATTTTAGCGATTGCCTATTAAAAAATTAATACTATTTATACTACCTTCACCTATTTAACAACTATAACTAATAAATAAGCTAAAAACCAATACTAGTGGCTCAAATAAGTTCTAAAACATGAATATTAAATAACTGATTCACAATAAGCATTCAAATTATAACCGAGAAGAATAGAAATTGTAAGTACATAGGTGTACAACAAAGAAAGAAACAAAGTGTAAAAGAATCTAGAACAAAAATCTTTGAAGCTGATATGGAGAGAAGGAGCAGTGCAAGAAAACTTTCCTTTATCACACTACTTGGCATCAAACTACATGAATAATAGAAAACTTTGCTCCTATTTGTTTTAATAACATTTAACATAAAAACAAAAATTCAAGTTTCCTTAAAAACAGAACTTCTAACACTTCAAACCAAAATTCCAACAACTAATACTTCAAACAGGGAAGCAAACTGGAACAAAAGTGGTAACATTGGAATTGTGGTATAAGCAATTGAAGGAATTGTAGAATAGGAGTATAGAAATATGGAATATATTATCAATTGAATGTATTAGAAGCATTAATCATAGCATTAGAATTCAGAAACTAAATCGAAGAGGTGAAGCACAACCTTTTTTTTCCGATCAATGGCTTTCCTGCCAATCTCCAAATCGGCGATCCAAACACCAAATTGGCGATCCCAAATGCAAAATTGGCAATCCCAATCAATAATTAGACCAATTCCGATCAGTAAAAACATGTTCCGGCAATCAATTTTGCCATTTTATAAAAAAATCGATTTAATTAAAAAAACATTATATCGCTACGTTGCTATTACCTCGCTATAAACCCCATAGCGACACACCAACGCCTCGCCTCACTAATCGCAATAGTGATCGCTATGATCGCTATTGACAACACTGAATCTTGCTGAGACTAATGAGGTTAGGCCGTATTTTTTTTCTTTCATTAAGTTGTATCGGATAGTAATGCTTAAAAGACATTTTGAAATTCATAGCAAAATGGGAAAAAAGGAATGTATTTTCATTTATTTGTGTATTATAGCATTCTTTTCATTGCGTTCTATTAGAACATCTAACTTTCATTTTTTTCCATAATAATACACTGTTCGTCTAAAGTAATTACCCAATTATAGCATTGTACTTACATTTTTATCTTCTTATTTGGATATTGTACTTTGAAATTTTAACTCAATTATAGCAGTTTTGTATTTGCCATTGTTATAATTTGATAGATTTTTCAATGAACAATGTTGTAATAACAAGAAATGAAAAGCAAATAACTTAAAGTGCATTGTTGTTTCTTGCATTTACCCCAAAAACAAACGGAATTTTTTTTAAGAAAGTTGGGACTTAATGGGGAAGGCCTCATTTCTTTGGTTCTCTATTAAGTCATTCTTTCTATATTTAGTAAAATAGAAACACTCGTATGTAGCTTTACCAGTTTAACTTTAACCAATATTTTTGGTGATAAAAACTGCAGGACATAGTCAAAGAATCGCACATTTACATCAACTTAGAACCATTCACCGTGATCTAAAGCCTCGAAATTTCTTAATACAGAAAGATGCTTCTTCTATTTAGGGCAAAAATCTCAGATATGGGCATCAGCCAACGCCTACCTGTTGATAAAATTTTTTTAAGCAAAACCACAACAAGCAAGGCCTTTTATATTTTTCATTATGAGTTTTAATAAGAAAAAAAATGAAAGTACGATATTGTAATATAAATAAATGAGAAGGATGCTATAATACACAAATTAATTAAAGTAAATTGCAAGATATAGCAAAGTATTTTTGTTCTTATTAAAGAATTGTACTTTTTTCTTTCCTTATTACAACATGCCAGTTCGGAGACACACATGTATAATATATTGGTGACGTGTTATTGTTGATTGAATGGACATATAAAATGAAAGCAATAATTATTTTTATAAAAACTGTCCTCTCATATTAGGTAAAACTTTATTATGGACAATTCTTTATAATAAAAAACGTAATACTTTTTTTTACACGTCAGCATAATATCACACATGTGCATCCTATATTGTGCCATGCCATCATAATTCCAATCTCATAGCTAACATGGGTAATTTTTCTACAATGCTCGAATAAGGAATAATATTGAAAGTATATAATAAAGAGTAATTGGAAACTATATTTACTTTTTTTGCATTCTCCCCCTTCAAATATTAGTAATCTCTCATAACGAAAAATATAAAAGGGTTTGCCTGTTGTGGTTTTGGTTAAAGAAGATTTATCAGCAGATAGGAGTTTGCTCATGTCCATATATAAGATTTTTGACCTAATAAAAGAAGCATTTGTATGTATTAAGACATTTCCAGGCTTTAGATCATTGTGAATGATTCCACGTCTATGTAAATATGTGAGTCCTTTGACTGTATCCCTGCAGTTTATATCACCAAAAACATAGACTTGATAAGTTGTTTCTTATTTATTTAACTGGGACATTGGTTAAAGTTAAACAGGTAAACTATATACAAGTTTCTGTTCTACTTAACGCAAAAAGAACGAGTTTAAAGTGTTCCCCCATTAAGTAAGTCCTAACATTTTTACAAATTTTCGCTTGTTTGTTTTTGGGTAAATGCAAGAAACAGCAATACACTTTAATTTATCTGCTTTTTATTTATTGCTATTACATCATTGTATATTGAAGATTTTACCAAATTATAGCAATGGCAAAATAAAAACAATTTTCACTGCTATAACTGAGTTAATTTTTCAAAGTACAATGTCCTAACAAGAAACAAAATGTAAGGTACAATGATATAATTGATTAATTTCTTTAAAAGAACGGAGTTTTAATAAGGAAAAAATGAAAATACGATGTTGTAACAAAAAGAAATGAGAATGATGCTATAATACACAAATTAATTAAAGTACATTGCTTTTAACCCCTATTTGTCGTGAATTTCTCAATATCTGTTAAGCATCACGTATCCGGACAATACAACTTAATAAAATAAAAAACATGGTCTAACCTCATTAGTTTCAAGAAAACTGATGAAGGTCAATTATATGTCGATTTTAAATCCATACCCTTAAAACCCTTCTTTATCCGTAGTCACGTAAATTATCGGTTGGACTTACAAAATACTATAAACTACAGTTGCATCTCTCAAAAAAAATATAAGTGAAATCTTGATTACACACCATAGCAAGATACGTAACAATGTTAAGGTGTTGATCAGACCCAATATGATTGATAATCTCTTTATGTGTCAGATTATGCTGCATATCACTGACATCATGCTCTGTATCACTATTCACTACCCTTTTCACAGCAACATTCATCGACTCATACATCCTCTCGTATACGATGGTGCCATTACTACCAACCTCGAGTATTGTATCAGAAACCCATAAGTTCCCAGCTTTGAGTTTTTTAACAACAAAACTAGGACCATTGTTGGTATGAGTTCCAACTAGATTACACAATGAATATATTACTCCATCTACTTCCATTTATTGGCTTATAACCACAACATGTCATTCACCCTCCTCCTTAAATATATATGCTAAAGTAAAATAATTTGCAGTTAATTTGTAAACTTCTCTTGTTACACCTGCAAATCCTACTGCAAAAATTGATAACTGACATGCCTTTTCTTCAAAGTTGACAAAGTCAATTCGTATCTCTAATATTTGACCACATCCATGTGAGGTATTTACAGGTATTAGTTGTGATTTTAGGAATTAAATCTTCTTTTGTACCCAATTTCACAATTCTAAGAATAATTCTGCCACGATAACAACATAAAATCATGTTCAAACATAAAAAATATGCAATGTTTATGTAAGAATATTGACTTTACCTGCTAGCTGCAGCATATACATCAACAGTGAACTCAATAGCATATTTTTTCGGGTCTTCTTATTCGACCACCACTATCTTCAAGGTTTTCTTGTTTAAAGCCACCACAAGTTCACTCCCATCACAAGGGGGCATAGTCTGTGATAAGTTTAGAGCAGAAAGCAATGTGGTTCCTATTTAAGTGAAACCGAGAAAAATAAAATTGTTAAAATTACTAGTTGTGGGTCAGGTCGTATGTAGTGTTGTAAAACTCGGATAACTTGGCCTAGTACTCCACAAATTGCCTCCTAACTGGGATTAATCAGATGGTTCATGCAAAAGAGTTGCATGGTGGTTTTGATTTTTGAGTGTTGCCTCGCCCGCTCGACCCACCATCGTGTTTTGACTTCTTTACAAAATCATTTTGTCATCCTTGCCCATTATCCAACTGAGATTAAGACCTTGATCAAAAGAAAACATAACAGATCATGTGAAGTCAAATGCAGAGACTTGTGATTTTAATGAAATGGTTCAAGAACATCAATGACGTATATAACTGCTAATGATCTTAAAAGGCCTATGATGATCGCAAGCATAAGTCAATCTCATATTTGACAATTGTTTTGGGGAATACTTTTGGGTCACCCTAACCCAAACCACCTGGACAAGTGGTGTGAGTTCCCTGCACATTTTCCATTATCACAAGCATAAGTCAATCTCATATTTGACATTGCCGAGATTATATAGGTCAATAGACATTATAAATAAAATCAAAATTTGTTCAACAATTTATGTCGTTTTTAGTACCCTCTTTGTTGATGATCATTGGTCTTTTAAGATCATTAGCAGTTATATAAGTCATTGATGTTCTTGACCCATTTCATTTTAAATCACAAGTCTCTGCATTTGAGTTCACATGATTTGTTATGTTTTCTTTTGATCAAGGTCTTAATCTCAGTTAGATAATGGGCAAGGATGACAAAATGATTTTGTAAAGAATAAGTCAAAACACGGTGTTAGGTCGGGGAGGGAACACTCAAAAGTCAAAACCATCATTCAATTCCCTTGCATGAACCATCTGATCAATCCCAATTAGGAGGTAACTTCTGGAGTACTCGGCCAAGTTATCTGAGTTTTACAACGCTACATACAACCTGACCCACAACTAGTAAGTTTAACAATTTTATTTTTCTCGGTTTCACTTAAATAGGAACCGCCTTGCTTTCTACTCTAGACTCGTCACGGGCTATGCTCCCTTGTGATGAGAGTGAACCTTTGATAGCTTTAAACAAGGAAACCTTGAAGATAGTGGTGGTCGAATAAGAAGTCCTGGAAAAATATCCTATTGAGTTCACTGTTGATGTATATGCTGCAGCTAGCAGGTAAAGTCAATATTCTTATATAACCATTGCACACTTTTTATGTTTGAACTTATGATTTTATGTTGTTCTCGTGATAGAAATTGTGAAATTGGGTACAAAAGCTTTTATTCTTAAAATCACAGTAAGTAAATACCTCACAGGGATGTGGTCAAATATTAGAGGCAGGAATTGACTTTGCCAACTTTGAAGAAAAGGCATGTCGGTTATCAATTTTTGCAATGGATTTGCAGACGTAACAGGAGGAGAGGTTTACAAATTAACTGCAAATTATTTTACTTTAGCATATATATTTAAGGAGGAGAGTGAATGACATGTTGTGGTTATAAGCCAATAAATGGAAGTAGATGGAGTAATATATTCATTGTGTAATCTAATTGGAACTCATACCAACAATGGTCCTGGTTTTGTTGTTAAAAAACTCAAAGTTGGGAACTTATGGGTTTCTGATACAATACTCGAAGATGGTAGTAATGGCACCATCGTATACGAGAGGATGTATGAGTCAATGAATGTTGCCGTGAAAAGGGTAGTGAATAATGATACGGAGCATGATGTCAGTTATATGCAGCATAATCTGGCACATAAAGAGATTATCAATCATATTGTGTCTAATCAACACCCTAACATTGTTACGTATTTTGCTATGATGTGTAATCAAGATTTCACTTATATTTTTTTTTGAGAGATGCAAGTGTAGTTTACAGTATTTTGTAAGTCCAGCCGATAATTTACGTGACTACGGCTAAAGAAGGGTTTTAAAGGTATGGATTTAAAATCGACACATAACCGGCCTTCATCAGTTTTCTTGAAACTAATGAGGTTAGACCGTGTTTTTTATTTTATTAAGTTGTATTGTCCGGATCCGTGATGCTTAACAGATATTGAGAAATTCATAAGAAATAGGGGTTAAAAGCAACGTACTTTAATTAATTTGCGTATTATAGCATCATTCGGATGTATCCACTTTGTCTGGTGTTGGAAGTGCAACACCAACTTCAACCATTGTAGAAGAATGGAATATTGTGAGACGGTGAACAGAACGAAGACGTTTAACTCTCAACACTTCAAGTTAAAAACCTGTAAAATGCATACAAGATAGTAGCATGTCAGGCATATATTTAATAATGTAGCTAAGCGAATAACTGAATGGATGAATGTTCGAAACGCTTTTTGTACTTACATGCACAAGAATTTTAAAGGCTAAAAGGTTTCATGTACAAAATTTAGAAAGAAATGTAAGTGAAAGTTCAAACAAGTAAGCACAATTCACACATAAGGGACTCTTACAAGCCGGCCTCTATCAGATTTTAATAAGAATTACAGCAAGTTCTTGACTAGCCAAATGAATGTAAATTGAATAGGACACTATATAACGACAAATTCTACATCAAATAAAGTGATAACAACAAACAAAACAAGTTGAAAGTAAAATAAACCAATTGAAGTTTCAAGGTCAAAATGTAGGTCTGGTTTTTAACAAATAGGAGATCAGATGATGAACCTAAGAACAATATGTACTGACCTCAGGAACATGTTTGTTGATGGGTACTTGAAATAGATCGACGGGGTCGCAAGAGATCCACTTCCGAATAAATAACAATGGGATCTGTAATATGAATGAAAAAGAGAAATGTACGGATTCAAATGGAGAATTCCTTTCTTTGTATTACTGTAAATGAAGAGGGAAGTAACAGATGCAAAAAAATCGAGAACAGAACAGGTTATTGAATCTTACCAAGTAAAAAAGCGAGAACTACATATTATAGAACATAACAGGACTAGGTTAATCGGTATTGTGACCGCATGACGATTGAAGTTTCGATTGAACAGATTGAAGCTTCGACTTTCACGAGAGTGACAACTAGAAGAAAAGAGAGTAGTGTAGGATCTGTAATATGAATGAAAAAGAGAAATGTTAGGGGCTGTTTGATGCACCTTCTGACTGGGTTCAATGCTTGGACTCGATCAGAAATCTCCAGTCCGTGTGTTTGTTTTTCTACTGCAGTCTTGACTCGGTCCAAAATGCTGATTCGGTCCTTGTTTTTGTGCTGATTCAGTCCATAGGAAAAACATTGCTGACTGGGGCAGATTGATGAAAAATACGCGCTTTACCCTCTACCGGCGTCGCTCTTTCAACCTCCCACCTCGTTCCTTCCGGTCTCCCAGATCGCTCCTCCTCCAGAAGTGGTATGATTTTTCCCGTTTTGACCTAATCGACAGGTTAGCAGTTCTTGTCTCTCTGTAAAATTGATTATTTGAAATCGATTTCTTCATATGCTTGAAATCGATACATCTGAAATCGATTTTCCAATGTACAGATACTAAAACTAAAGACCTAAGTTTTGATTTTCTCTATGAATCGGGATTTGATGATGTGAATTGGCGATGAACAAAAACAAATAGAAAAAGAGAGATGCAGATCTTTAAGTAATTAGAAGCCCAACATCGATGGCGATTGCGAGTAGAATCAATGATTTAGGGAGAGAGAAACGATATGTATAAAGGTAGATATTTGGGTGTTTGGTCTCAAAGAGATGATTTTGCTGTCATATGTGCGTCCTCAAGTCTTTAACTAAGCTTTTGCTTTTTTAGCACTTTAATTATTATATACTTTTTAGATTTTAGACTATTAATATGGAAATTACGTTAGATTTAATTGGATTGAGATGTGAGATATTGATTAAATTAATGATCATATTTTTACGAATCAAATTGTTTAATTGTTATATTTCTTAATAACACGTCATCTAATAAAATGATATTTGTAATTTATTTTAATATATTTGATCTTTTACTAATAAATGGATTATTATAAAAAAAAAATATTGTTTAGGGGTAATATAGTCATTTTACATAGTCAGTTGGATTCAAAATCAAAGAACAAGTTTCAGTCAGAAGATAACTCAGTCAGAGATTCTAACCCAGTCAGCTTCTAACTCAGGTCGGTAACAAGGTATAAGTTCTTTTTTTTCCTTTTTTTTTTAAATAAAATCACCAAAATATAAAAGTTAAATATATATTTTTTTAAAAATGCGGGTACCCGTCGGTACCGGTTTCGGTTAACCGCCGGTTCTGGGTACCCGGTATTGGAACCGGAACCGACGGGTATCCAGCGGGTAACAGTTTTTTAAAAATGAGAATTGGAACCGGAACCACTTAAAGCGGTTCCGAAACTTCGAGAACTGGAACCGGAACCGCTTAAGGCAGTTCAATTTTCAAAACTAGCAGTTCCGATGCAGTTCCGGTTCTGAAAAGCAGCTACCCGCTTCCGTTGCTCATCCCTATTTTCAATCGACAATAAAAACTTATCAATATGCCTTCAGTTCTAGAGAACTACAATGTAAGTTGTACAATCTTGATCCAATGCTAAACGTTTGAAAATTTGGTCATTTCCTCACAACACGATTCTAATAATCAAACAGTCATTTCCGATTCTAATAATCAAACTGTCACTTTTCTTGGATGACCATTGACCATCTCCAAAACATAGTACATCACGCAATAAAAGTTGTACATTTACATGAATTTGTTGTTTTTATCAATTACATGATTGTTATCAAAACAAATTCTATGAAGTATCACATAAACCATCGATCAATTATTAGACAAATGGAATACAACATTCCAACAATAAAAAAGAAAAAAAATCAAACGACAATGACTTCCAGGTGAAAATAAACCCTATCAAGAGTAGAAAAAACCCTAAATTTCTACCTGAAATCGTCAAGCACAAAATTCCTATTTACCTTAAAAGAAGAAAGTGAAGGGCGATAGGAAGGTAGGGTTTTTTTTTAGTCCTGCTTGTTTGCTAGGGGTTTTTTTACCGTTTAGGGTTTTAAATAATGAACTATGAAGCGTCGTGTTCTAGAGTTTAAATTTTAAAGAGGGATGAGGAAAGGGAAGGGAGGGGAAAGAAAGGGAAGAAGATGGAATGAGAACGAGGAGATAGATGCGTTTTCGAGTTGAAGGGAAAGGAAAGAAAGTTCAATGTCAAATGACGTTTTTACCCCTGTTTAGGGTTCATCGGCTTCGATGCTTCATTAAAGGAAGAAGAGGGAGAAGAGGAAGGAGAGAAGACAATAAACAGTAGTTGAATGGCATGAAGAACATGTTCTGTAAGATTGAAGTCACAGTGAGATAGATTAATCAATTAATTAAAGCAGGGTGTTTGATTCTTTTAAAATGAATTTTTAAACTTTTGGTTTTTTCAGAAAGCTAAAAGTCAAAAAATATGTTTTAAGAAGTCGTTTTAGACCAATTTTTGGTAAGAACAAAAATAAGCTTTCAAAAGTCATGAATTGGTGACTTTTGGGTTTTTAGCTTTTGGCTCTTCAAAAGATAACTCAAACACATTTTAAAATCTTTTTTTGTAAAAAGCCAAAAGTCAAAAATGACTTTTCAGCATAAAAAGCAATCCCAAACACCCCTGCAAAAATCAGACTTTTTCTTTTTTCCTTCCTAATCCCGTCTAAATATAAGCGGAAAGACAGCGGCCCTTTTTTCTTCTTCTGTGACAACCCGAAATTTCTATCTTGTACAGTCATTCAATTCAATCACAGTCAGACTCGTTTCTGCTATTTTTTAGCATTTTCCAGGGTCTGTTTCAGTGTCCTAAGCCTAGTACATTCAAGGTTTGGGTTTAGGGATGAGTTAACTTAGGTTCATCGGGTTGCATTCGGGCCAAACACTCCATCGAGAGGAGTGTACGGCCGCACACATGAGTGTACGGCCGTACACTCAAGGTGGCCGTGAACCCATGCCCATATATAAGCTATTCCTTCACTTTTCATACTTCCAAGTCAAGAAATCCAATTCTCTCTCAACTATCATCAAGTCGTGAACTCCATAGGAACCCTCAAAAGTGTAAGTATCTCTTTTATCTTCTAGTTAAGCTTGAGAAACACTTGATTCCTAGCCTTGAATCTTCATCTAATGCAAGAACACCAAGGGTGTACGGCCGTACAACCCTCTTATGGCCGCAAACCCTTGTTTGGTGCATATTTTGGCCTCAAACTCATCTTATGTCCCAACCTAGGATGTTGAACACTTAATGGATGCTAGATAGGGACGTAAAACACCACTTTTGCATGTTTCTTCCATGATTGTACGGCCGTACATGATGGGTTATGAGCACTACAACATTCATATGGTGTACATGCAAAACCCTAAAGCTTTGGATCTAGTTTGTCTAATGAACATGAAATAATCATCCAAAGCCATAAACCCTAGATCTAGCATGTGATAATCAATATTAACATAAGAATAGAGTTTAGATCTTACCTTGATTGTTATGTAGCAATAACAATCTATTCCTTCTAGTAATTGGCTTCTAAAAGCTTAGAGTCACAAATGTCACTCCTCTAATGGCTCACAAACACCAAGAGCAAAAGGATGAAGAAGGAGGACAGAAGAGGCACCCAAAAACGTCTAGAAACCCTTAGGAAACTCTCAGCCACGTTTTTGGTGCCCTAGGGGTGCTTAAATAGTGAGGTTATTAGGGTTATCTAACAAGGAAACCTTAATTTGACTGCTTAGGCCCTAAGCAACCCATGGACTCCTCCTTTAGAGGCCTTGGACGATTTCTAATGGGTTTCCCCATAGAATTCGTCCACTCCTCTAATAAGGAGTCCATTAGCCCAATATTCAACTATCACACAATTGATAGTTCTAGTCCCCTAAGTTTAATTAATCTCTTTTAGCCACAAAATTAATTCTTAATTAATTATTGACTAATATTAATTAAACAATATGATTTCACCTTTAATATATTATTCTCATAATATATTAATAAATCATAATCAATCCTCTCTCTCCATAATTCATCCTATCAAGTTGCTTTGGTGAAGGCAACCCAAAAGGACCATGCACCATCGGGTCAAGTACATACCAAAATAGTTATGGACTTAGACACCAATCCAACAGTACACTCCATGACCGTACACTCAATGGCCGTACACTCCATGACCGTACACTCAATGGCCATACACTACATTGGTCGTACACATCTTGGTCGTACACACAATTGTGTGGCCGTAAACCCCTTTAGTACAATCACATGTGATTGTAACACTTCAATTCAAGTGTTTCCTAGTCCCTAAATTGGTTCTCTGTCATAATTAGTTGTTATATACACTAATTATATCCATATATGTGTCATTATATGCTTAATAGGATCCGTTTGTACTCGAGGCTTCACTTGACACTTAACATCCTGTATCGACCTTTCACTCGAATCACTCACTACAGGTGAGTTCATACCCCCGTATTTTCATAGTTTTTACTGTTTTAAGGGGGGGGGGGGAATACAAGTCTAACACAAGGATTTTGTGTTATAAACAAATGGTTTCAAATATCTTATCAAAATGGATATCAGTTATCATCAAATCAAATAGTTTTCAATGATTGTATCAAAACGACATCAAGTCACCAATATGTATTTCAAACTATTAAACTTCTTTTAAATGTTTTTATAAACTTAAATTTCTCCCAGAAATCATACTTGTATATATATATATATATATATATATATATATATATATAAGATTTAAAAGGCTTGGGACTGATAACCCACTTTTGTTCATTTTCCTTGTTTGGATGTGGGATTATAAGTATCAGTTATTTGTCCGGGTGTCATTTAAATTTTACTTATATATATATATATATATTATATATATATATATATATATATATATATATATATATTTGTATATGTATACAAGTATAAAAGTTAGTTCATTAAGTTCAAATACCCTTTGTAACATGTTGAGCAAGGGGTTGCATTCATGAATACTCGGTATCAATTCAAAAAGTACATATAAATTATAATAGGTATAATTTATGATTCACAGAACATTAATTCACGATTCAAGTATACTAAAGTACATTGTTTTACAAGAACAAAGGTTTGATTCAAAACTATTCAAGGATATACATCTTTCAGATACATGTTAAGAATACTAATTCAAGAACATACTATCAATCATTTTATTTCAGATTGATTGGGTTTTCATAACTATTATACATGTAACGTTTATATTCTTTTTATGAGTCATCTGATATAGGTTGTTTAATTC